ATTCACATGTTTGATCTACTAAAAAATTCGTTATTTACTTTTGATAAAATTGTTTAAATTTTAAAATTACTTTTTATTAATTTGTAGGGTAAATTATAATTTAACCCGCCGTGATTTGCCTAAAAAATACGGAGCATTTCTATAGTTTCATTTGTAACACTTATACTCCCTATACTTCATGCCAAAGTGTAATTTTCGACGGAACTGTTTGTTTAAACAGAGCGTGTGCTGCACGACCATGAATGGTGAGTGAAACAATTTTTCCAGCCCAAAAACATATGACAAATGACCAAAACACCCTTATTGCCATATATATACACAATGGTGTAGTGCAATAGAGCATGGATTACACTCTTGGCGAAACATTAACAACTTTATCTCCAAACGAAATTTAGTGTATGAGCATGGGTTTCATTTACCTCAAGTATTAACATCCTTTGAGCATGGGTTTGAGCATGGGTTCTATTTATCTCAAGCATTAATATCCTTTTGTTTGTTTCATTTACCTCAGGTTCTCTTCATAGTTCTAAATCGCGGTATCGACTAACGTAACGGTATCGATCGCGGAGTATCGATATCAGTAATATCGACCGGTACGTATCGGGAATCGGGCGCCGCAACCATGAAATTTTAAAAATCATTAGCAATCCCTCTAAAACCAAATTTTATGCATTTTTTTTGACTCTTTGAACTTTAATTTGTTACATTTCAATCAAAATTTCGTTATGTAGGAACATTTTTGACTCATTTTCAACTAAATGATTTGTATTTATTTTTGACATATGTTAAACTTTTAATAAAAAAATTGATTTGAATATTTATTTTTTCTTGTACTGAGAAAAAAATAAATATATATGTATATATATTAATATAAATAGAGATGTAATTGTCAAAAAATAGAAAATAAAAAAACTTAAATATTTACAATCTACAAAGCCACCATAAAGCCATGCACCTCCATGTACCTAAGTACCTCTCTCTTCTTATCCATTTCAATCTCAGACTCCCAATGCACCTCCATGTATATCCATTTCAATCTCAGACTCCCATGCCATAATACAACCACAAACAATCCTGTCCCCTCCCCTCTCTCTCTCAAAATGTTGACCGGAAGTTGCAGAATCCCGCCGAACCCAGACAAATTCAGCTTTAGATTGACGAAAAAAAAAAAACCAAAAACAGAGCACAGCAACAACAAAAACAGAGACTAAAATTCACGCCGCGACACAACAACAACAGAAACAGAGACTGTATCGGCCCGTATCGGCGCATATATCGGATTCACGCCGTTACGTTCAAAATGTTGACCGGAAGTTGTAGAATCCCGCCAAACCCAGGCAACTTCAGCTTTAGATCGACGAAAAAAAAAAAAACCAGAAACAGAAACAGAGCACATCAAGAAGAAAAATAGAGTCGCGGCACAACAACAACAGAAACAGAGATTGTATCGGTCCGTATCGGCGCATATATCGGATTCACGCCGTTACGTACCAGGACTCGGACGCTATGGCTGTGAATTTCATTCTCGCCGGGAACTATGGTACTCTCTCTCTCATTATATAAATATACACCACCATCACCTTCCATGCAAGACCACCACCATCACCTTTTATTTCTCCTTTCATCTCACCACCATTACCTTCCATGCATGACCACAACTAACTTCTTATTCCATGCAAAACCACCACTCAAAATCACCACCACAACTTCTCTCTCTAAAAATTATCCAAACTCACTTTTCTTCTTATAAATCAAATTAGTAACAAACCCAACCCATGAAATTAAACAATTAATATGTGTAAACATTTAGAATTTTGAAATAGCATTGATGGGATTCATACCAACCAAACCCACTTTTTCTTCCCGTTTCCGACATCTCTTCGGCTCATCTTTCGGACTCCATAACTTTTTCGATTCTTAACGATTTTATCCCATTCTTTCACCAATCTCCTCACCTTGCTTTACACTTCATCCTATGCTACGTCGTTTTCTCACTTCTTCCTGAAATGGGTGGTTTCGGTATACCGAAAGTTGTCTGAAAACTAACTTCACACATTTCAAAGAAACATCTCCAAATCTATTTCTTTCTTTTTCATCATCCACTCTTTTTTGTTGCTTCATCTATAGCACTTTGTAAAGGGTGGTTCTTGGTTTTGAGAGAGCTAGGCAATTGTGGTGATGATGATGGTCACAGTGAGAGAGAAGATATATATATATATATATAGAGAGAGAGAGAAGTCAAAGCTTGGGTTCATCGTTTATCCTTCTCCTTAGGTGTCTACATGTTAACTTATCAATGCTAGATTCTTCAGTTTCTCATACAAATCTCATATAGAGTTGTTATGGTAGTCATGATTTTAGTGACGTCTGTCATAGCATTATTATTTGTTTTAATCGACATAAAACTAGAATAATATTAGTTAATATGAAGTTGAAAATTATTGTTCTTTTTAATTGAGTTTCAATGAAATATCAACACCTCTGCTACCTGTGGTTGATATAAAAAATAAAAAATAAAAAATAAAAAATAAAAAATAAATAAAAAAAAGAACTTCTACTACCTATTAAAAATGGCATGAATTTTGCTCAAAATGTGCAAGCATGGGAAATATATGGCTTGCAAGCATGATGGCGAAATGTGATCACAAATTCAGTGTTTGAGCTTGCAAGCAGGATAGCGAAATGTGATCCAAGGTATGAGAAATATATGGCCTACTGCTTGATGTACTGTGGAGATGATGTTCCAAAAGATGTTATTGCAGTCGTTGCCACTATCAAGACCAAACGGACTATACAGTTTGTTGACTAGTGGTTTATAATGGCATTAAAAAAAAATTATAGAAATAAATAAGTGTAATTTAGACTTTTTACAATTTCTGTTACGTTCGTCCAAAATTGCACTTTATTGTGAAGTATAGGGGGTTTAAGTGTTACAAATGAAACTATAGGGGGCTCCGTATTTTTTAGGTAAACCACAGAGGGTTAAGTTATAATTTATCCTAATTTGTACGATCATGAATTAAACTTAAAAATTTAGGAACTTAACTAGATAAAATTGATAGACTAGTGATGAAATTAAAAAAAAAAAAATTGTAATAATTTAAGAGATAAAAGTGGAAATTAATCAATGAATTTTATGTGTAAGTTATGGGACAGTTACTAGCTGATTCTATGGACTGAACTTATTTATCAAAAAGTCTTATTTTAACTTTTAGTAATAAATTTATTGTTATATTTTTTTAAAAATACAACTTTTGAACGTAAACTAAATAAATTAAAACTTAAAAACAAAAATTAAAAAGTCTCAATTATTTATCAATTTGATAAATTTCTTACTATCATTACCAATATTAGATAATCATTTCATAAACACCGAATATATTTAAAAAGTCTCAAACTTTTATTATCAAAACAAGAGGCAACTATGTAAGAAAAAAAATTATTATAATTTATGAGTAAATAAATTCATTCAATTCATTCAAGTGAAGTAATTATTCATAAGTTTCGTTTTATCAGCGTGATCGTTGAAATTCATGATGTGCCCTGGGGGTGATAATGGCGGTGAAGGAAAAAATTAAAAGTGTTTCATTGAGAAGGGACACTTTTTATTTTCTCATTTAAAAAACGAAAATGTTTGAAAGTCTTAAAAAATTATTTTTAAAAAATTATAAAATTTGATTTTTATAACCAAATAAATTTTTAATTTTATCAATTTAAATTCTATTTTTTTTTTCAATTAAAAACTTATTTTTGTTAAGTAAAATTGATAAAAAAATAATATTTTAATTATTAAACTGTGATTTTACTTAACGAAAATAAATTGATAATTAATATTGAAAATAAATCAAAATACTATTAAAATTTAAAATTCGAAAATTTCTTTCCTTACAAATATGAAATTCTGGGGTTTATTTCGTAATTTGCCCTTTTTTGTTTTGAAAATTCAGTACATAGGTGGTTAATGTTATGAGCGTATAAATAAACAGGGGCGGGAACTCTGCTCGCTCTCTCTCATTCGCGAGCGCTAGCTCTCTTTCGTCTCCGTTTCCAGAGAATTCTCTGCATCGCTCTCGTAAGGACTTCCTCCTTCTGTTAGATATAGCGTAGTACTTGCTTATATGTATATGAACAATGAACACACTAATTAAATCTAAATACAATGTGTTGATATTGAATTGACTATTTGATTTTCTGAGAAAGTACTTGAGAAAAACGAAAAGTTTAATTTTATTGACTTATATCTTTTGATTTGATGTTTGATATTCTGAAAATTGTCTGTTTATATTTCCCGGCAAAATCAAGTGTAGTATGAAAGAAAACATTCCAAACGGGTGAGCGTTGTGGATGGAGAAGTTATTGGTTGGTCTTGGCGTCACGGGGTGGCTGATGTTTAGATGGTGTCCAACAATATTTTGGTGTTTTTAAAAGTTTGTAAAATATTAATTTTGTGATTTTTTAAATATTTTTATGGATTTTTTATGTAAAAAGAATTAATTTTTTTGTAATTTTTTTTAATTAAAAAATCAAAACGGCCCATTGTAATTGTGATTGGTAGAAAAAATAGACGTTGACAGATTTGTATTAGATGATTTGAGAAAAGTGAAGGTATAACCATGCCCATGTGCGTTGCGGGACCAATGTGGGTGTCGATTTTCACGATACTGGGGTCCACAGTTAACAGATTTTCAGAAATACACGCTTAAATAGACGGCAGTTTCTCGATTCCCGAGCCTCCAAAATCAAGGTTTCCAATTAAGAGGATAGAATATCTTAAATAAATGTATTTTTTAATTTTTTAGATCAAAATATTAAAAAAAAAGGATAATTATTTGGATTAATTTTTTAATTTTTTATAAGAAAATGTGTATTAAAAAATTATATAAATTAATATGTAAAAAAAAATTAAGATTAAAAGTTATACAATCGTAATTTTTGACTTTTAATAAATAGTGATAACTTTTTAATTTGTTAAGCAATTTTTAATTTTTTCTAACTCGTCAAACTTAACATAAAAAGTTGCTCGACCTTTACCTGGCGAGACGTTCTTCTTGTTCGTATTTATAAGCAACTTCTCTTTCTCAATACCGTGAACAGGTTCCCAACTCGTTTGTTCTTCCAATTTGTGAAGGTTTGTATTCCAACTTCGATCAACTAGAAAGATTGATATTTACATTTATATATTCACACACACACATATATATATGTATGTATCTCTGAGCATTTAATCATGTTAATGACTGTAAACTTGTATGCTTGATTTTGGGTTCTTGTTGAGTTGAACGACATGAGTCAGGGCTAGGGTTCTGTGATATACTTAAAAGAGCATTTTGATTTTCTGAAACATTATTATTGTGTTTGTTATTTCTTGGTGCTCAAGTTTGGAACAACTAGTTCGTGTTTGAATAAGAAATTTCAATGCTTTATTGTGTGATTTTTGGGTTTTTTTTTTTGTTGGAAAATGACAAATTAGAGGGTAGTAGGGTTTATTTACAATTTAATGGAAAGTTTACAATAGCAGTAAAAATATGTGCACAGAAAATACTATCTCGAAAAGTAATGTATAGTCCAGATTCAACTCATGGATTGTGGGCTCACATTTAGAATGAACCTTGACCATATAATGAAATTTCTTGATATATCTCTGTGCACAAATTCTGTATATGTAGCATTGCTTTTTCAAAAACTGCAGCAATAGTAGAAGAATGAGCAAAAATTACAAAGACATGAATTTTAAATTTGAAGGATAGAAATGCTCGTGCCTCTCAGCTCCCTCTGCAAACTTTAGCCGCCCCTCCCCCACCACTGCCCCATCTTTCCCCGCCCAAACCCAACCCCAACCCCAACCCCAACCCCTGCTGCTAGGTATCAACTCTCCTCTTCGCCCTAGGGCACGCTTTCAATTACATCTATATATATATATATGTGTGTGTGTGTGTGTGGTTTTGATGTGTAAATTATGATATTATGTTGGGACTTTTGAAGGATTTGTTGCTTGGTATATATAGGGTTTCGTAATTTGCAATGTGCCCCATTAGTTTCCCGAGAAATCGAGGTGGAATTTGTAGTTTGGATGTAGAATTTCGCTGAAAGCATGGGTTTTTTTGGCTGTTCAGTTAGGTTTTTAGTTGTAAATTAGTCTTTAGTGAAGGAAGCTAGCTGGAGCGATCGGTCACTGGTAACGAGTTTTTTTTTTTTGTCTTTTTGATTTGAATGAAACGAGAATTTTTATCTGCTTGTTTCTTAATGGAAGTTTCTTATTAATATTTCTGCTCTTTGAAGGAATCTCCGTGATTTGTTGCTTGGTATGTTTGGGGTTTCATAATTTGCAATGCACCCCCTTTGTTTCCCAAGAAAACGCGGTGGAATTTGTAGTCTGGATAGAAAATTTGGGTCAAAATTGGGTTTTTTTTGGGGTGAATTTTGTGGAATTGTGTGGTTCTGTTGTTGAATTTGATTCACTGGTGATGGTTTTGAAGCTAGGGTTCGTTGGCAGAGTGTTATTATGAATTTGTGCAACTTGTTTGAGGTTTCTCTGTTTTGAATTTTCTCGGGCTGCCTAGGCTTGCCGTTTGCTTCTTTATCATACTTAGAAAAAAAAAAATTAAAAAAAAATAGAATTTGAACCATGCTGGTTTTCTTTTTAGGGTTTTCTGAAAGGGTTCAACAAATTAGGATTCACTCTCTTTCTCTCTCTGTATCTCTGCTGTAATTCTCAATTTTTCTTATTCTGTTTTCGGGTTGTTAAGGGAACGAAGAACTAACTGCTGTAATTGGCCCTAGGAATGGAACTGCAATTATCTGGTGTTTCTATGCCCCTTTTTGTTTGATATTGAAGGGATTACTGTTTGGAAAGTAGGATTTAGTTGGAAAGATGTAGAATGACTATCCCTTATACGAGAATGGAAAGAGAGCTGCTGGAATTTGCAAAGGGGGTTGAGAGAGACAAGGGCTTTTTTGTTGGAATAGGAGAATGCAAAATTAAAGCATGGTTGTTGTAGTTGCAGAGTCTTGTTGGAGATAATACAAGCAGATGATTATGTATGAGCAAGACCTTGGTGTTCTTCATTGGGGTCTCCCTATTCTAGATGTTTGTTGTATATCCACTCGTGGTTCTCCTGGTAGTAGTATTTATTATGACCAGGATTTATCTCGAGTTGAGTATGTCAATGAAGGCTATGGTGAGACAAAGCATGATGAAGTGGAGAATGATGAGATAATTGCACGGGCTTTTCAGGAAGAACTATCACTGCTTGCAGATGCAAAAGCATCTGGATGTTCATATGCGGGGGATAAAAATTTGCAAGCATCCATTCTTACTCAGGATTGGTTGGGTACTTCAAAGAGACATTATAGTTTAGGCACCATGGAAGAACCAGCAGGTGGCCTTTGGTTTATTCATTAATTTGGACTCTTTCTTTTTCCCCTTAAATTTGTTTTCATAATCTTGTCACATGTGTAGAGTGTGGTCATGATCTGGGAGACGTAGATGAAAGGGAAGAATCCAATTCATGTTCCAGCACGAAAGAAAAAGCATTTAGTCTGGAGGACGGGTCATACTTACCTGAGATAGCAGATGAGTCTACTCTTGATGGTGATGTAGGCAAGAGGTTGAATCAGATGGTTCCTGTTGCTGTAAGTGTAGCTACTTTGGAGTTATATTCTTGCATTAAATGAAGGAAAATTCCTTTCAAATAATATATTCTGAAGTTCATTTGTTGCTTGTCTATTAGTGTATTTTTTGCATTTGTTTCTTGATCAGTCATGCCTTCAACTACTAGTTGTTGATAATCATGCTTTCTGTAAGGCTTCTTTCTATTGAAGATAGAAAGTAGCTCAATTAGATCAATTGATAGTGGTGTATAAGATGCTTTACGCACCTCATGCCATTATTCCCTTTAAATGTTTTTCTAATTTGTGGTTGTTTTTTTGCATAAGATCATGCTTAATTTAATGTCTTTGCATTTAGAATACATTTTTTCCCTATTGAGTAATGCAATACAAACAAACAAATCTTACAAAAAATTTCTTACTTCTTGTTGTGGCACCTATCATATCATTGAAGTGGGTCCTATGGGTCTTGGTTTAGTTTCCAAAGGTTTATTATTTACACACGAGTTTGTAAAAAAAATTTGTAAGATTTGTTAGTTTGTATAGAACTTTCCATACCTATTATATCCATCCTTTATAAGCAAATTATACTTTATAGTTTTTCATAATTTACAATAAAGAATCACATTTTAGCTTTCTTGTGTCACGTGTTGTTGTTGGACCCACTTAAGTTTTTAGGATAATTAGTGTTCTAAAAATTTATGAAAAAGGAAAACAAAGTCTTTTTTCCACAGGTTGGAGGAAGAATCACAGGGGTAGATGAGAAAACGAGTTTGATCGAAATCCATTCTGTCACTGACTGCATTTGAAGTGGAAGCCCTATGCTCTCCCACCAGCAAGTGGCTAAATCAATTGGCGGCATTCTGCCTAACATAGAGAAACTTTTTTAAAAGGCATAGTTCAGTAAGAAGAAAATCCATTTCTATGCCCCGATGGGCCTTCCCCCCTATTAGAGCAGGCAAAATATCTTATGTTTAAATCTCACTACCTACTCGATAATTATAATACTTGCAAATGTTTGGCCTAATTATGATGAAGAGCTTGGAAACACCTAAGAGGGAATGTTGAAGTTACTCCTCTCTCTAATTGCTTAAACTTCTAGAAGTGTTGTCACGACCCCATTCCGCCCCTAGTAGAATGGTGCCGTGATGGCCAGTAATCCGAGATTACCAAAGGCCAACTTGCAAGAATTCACACACAATTAGAGTATATATATAGGGCTAACATGTGCGGAAGCAATAAATTTAGACTAATTAGTCCGTAAGAGCTGTGCATAAGTCAAATGAAGTGGCATACATCTTTACATAGCTTTACAACTTGGGTACAATAAAATGAAGTACAAAAATACATCTTGACCAAAAGGCTTCTCAAGCCATCATATACAAAACATAATGAATTACAAGCTAAGAAGCATGATCTTCAAGATGCTACAAAATGCGAATTCAAAACAAGTTGCAAGGCACATCTAGGCGTCACCGCCCTCCTGCTCATCACCTACATATATATAGAGAGGGTGAGCTTGGATACTCAGTGAATGGTACAAGAAATAAAGGGTTTGCATGCATGATATCCGAAATCTTTAACAAAACAACACATAATCATAGCTTGTAACTAACAAGGGAGGAATCAAGTTCGTCTAACAAATTTTTCAAGTTTCATCAATCAAAGTCTTTCCAGGCTTTCAAGTTTCAAGGGGTGACATTAATAAGGGTTGTGCTACAAATGCTTATAGTCCCCTAGCACGTACGGACTTTCAAAGGTTGTGCTACAAATGCTTATAGTTCCCTAGCACGTACAGACTTTCAAAGGTTGTGCTACAAATGCTTATAGTCCCCTAACACGTACGGACTTTCAAAGGTTGTTATCCAAAACAAGACTAATACTTGATACACAAAATAGGGATAATCATTCATGCTTAACAAATACTTTTTAAAACAAAGCAAAGCTGTATCAAAACTTTATAACATAGCTTTATTAAAAATACCACTCGCATAGTTCTTCAAACGTCGGGGTTACAGGCAAGGATCCAAGGCCTACCAGCACATAACAAATCCCATTAAATGCACTATCAAACAAGCTTTACATGAATGCAAATGATCTCGGCATTACTTCAAAACTAAGTCGAACCAAAACAAACACTGTTCCTCATCTCGGGAAAACATAATGGACACCATCCAGGTCTTGGCCGAGGTCCCACACCTCCCTTGCTAAGGTGTGGTCTCGATGGCCACATTCAAGGAAACGAAATCGGGAAAATCTAGGTTCCCCTTTCTTTGAAGAACATGAACATGAAGAACATGGATGCAAAGATCATAACTTATCATTACAAAATCTAAGATTTCATGCTATGAATTCAAAAACATGGACCTGGGCACCTATACTCGAAGACTTTATGAAGACAAACAGAAAACATGAATCTTAATGCAAACTTTCAGATCAAACAAGACTTTTTCTTCAAGAACACACGAACACTATTTTCTTTCTAAAACCAACTTTAAATCAATGCATGGCGTGCAGAACAGGTTCGATCGTGCAATGCAGCTAGATGATCAAGAAGAACAACAAGAGTAGTTTAAGATTCTAACCTTAAAACACGAATCAAACGGTTTGAACTCTAAGGATCAAGCTTGGAAATCTATTCCTCCTCTAAGAACTTCTTCTCCCTCTTCTAGAGCTTCTCTCTCCTCAAGAACAAAGACATACAACAAATGATACATCTCTCTCTCTGCTGGCTGATTTAACACTCTTCGGACACGTGGCAACGACTGGTTGGCTCTACTAAAAAAGGTGACTGAGTGAAAAGACAAGACCATGACAAAGTGTGTCCAACAAGCAAGATGGCAAGGGCACTCCGGCGAGTAACAATCTCGGCTAAGGACAGAGCTTCGGCAACTAAGGTGGAAATGACCTTGGCTAAGAAGGACAACACTTGACTAAGCTGTGCCACACCTTGGCCTAGATGTGCCACACCTCGGTCTAGGTCGTACCACTCCAGGACAAGATCACTTAGGTGCAAAGGTAACATCTCGGCCTAGGTGATGAACACCTCGGCCTAGATAATGACATCTCGGCCAATATGTCAGGGCGATGGTGGAGGTCAAACAAAGGGGTTCCAAGATAATTCTAGACTAAAGATGACCTCGGCTAAACTCACACCAAGCAAGGTACAAAACATGCAAGAAACACTTAAGCAAAACAAATCAAGGTTTGCAAAAATGCAACATATCAAGACAAGATCATGTAGTATATGCAAGCATGACTAGGGTAGAGTGAGGGTTGTTACAAGTGTAGAATCAATGTGGAGTTGGGAAAATTAATCCCAGGAGGGCAACTATTAATCACAACCTCGAAAATGTTTTCCGTAATCAACAACAATAAGATAATAAGAACTTTTTGAGCTAATATTAAATATAAAAACTTACATGTTCATTAAAATGTAAACTTTTACTATTGAATCCAATGAGTTTTCATCTTTTTAAAGCTTTCCATGATTGTATCATTATCAATGCCATAAAAAATGTATCTCTCTCTCTCTGTCTATATATATATATATATAAATGTATATATACAACCCAGCTATTGTTCAATCCATTGATCACCCATTTTGTTCTGCAACTGATTCTTCACAGTGGTCTGCAATTGAGTTTTTATTTGGCTAATTACTCATTTGCTTGTGGTGAAAAGGGAGTTGAGAGAGGAAGGAAAAAGAAAAACAGAGAGAATGACTAAGGAAGACCGCCGACCATTGATGGAATCTGAAAAAGGCATTGATCGTGAAACTCTTGAAGTTGGAAATTTTACATTGAGAAGAAAGAAAATTGAGAGGGGGCACGTGATTTACAAGTATTATATAAAAAAAAATATACAAAGGGGGTCATGTGCTCCCTTTGGCCCCTTGATAAATTCACTATTGTGAAGAATTATATTTTAGAAGGGATGAAATTCTTAATTAAGAGTTAAAGAGGTGACTCACTGCTGGTTTGTTAATTCTTTAGTGTTGGGATGAATGGACTGTGTCTAGAATCTTGGGATTTATTCAGTATGATTTGCTGCCCTTGTACTAAAGCACTTGTTTCAGGCTTGGTAGTCCATGCTTTTATCACTTCACCAAGCGGAAGTCCCTATTTTACATAATAATGATTTACTATAAATTTTAAATTTGGGAAACAAGGATAACTTTGTACACTAAATTTTGCAATTAAAATGATTTACTCTTCTATCTTTAATAATTTCATGCACAAATATTTTGACTTTCTTTCTAACTTGAACTATCCTCAATTTCATATAAGATTTTGTGATGATGAGTTACTCACCTGACTGTCGAGAACAGTGATTTGACTAGTTTTATAGTATGAGTGAGAGCATCACATGGTATGTGACAGGCCTCAAGATTTGCCACCCATATTTTGGACCTATCAAAGAAGGCCCAAGTTGAGCCCAACAAACTGCACAGCAACATATCGGGCCCTGCAAGTTGCACAGCAGCACACATGCTATTAGGAGTTGTTCAGATTTGGATTAGCATGGAAGGTTATTCCAACTGAGGACAGCATTTCTTTAGCTGATGATAGGCAATTACTTGTGTGATATAGGGTAACACACTATATCACAAAGATGTGATAACTTATTTTCTTCTAATAAGCTATTTGTCTTTATGCTGGTTTATATTGTAATTTGCAACAACCAAAGCTTGCCATATGTGTTGAGTCTGTCAACACATACTTTGTTTGGTAGGCCAAAGCTTCCAACTGAGGACGACTTATGTTCATTTGATGATAGGCAATTACTTGTGTGATATAGGATAACACACTATATCACGGAGATGCATTGACTAATTTCCTTCTAATATGCAATTTGTCTTGATGCTGGTTTATATTGCAACAATAGAAGCTTGCTGTCTGTGTACTTCATTTAGTAGGCCACAGCCTTTAGTATCTAAACTGGATTGGAAGTGACATTTCTATACTTGTTATTGATTTTGTGCAGCATGTTCCTAAAATTAATGGATATATACCCTCGGTTGATGAAGAAACATCAGATCATCAAAGGCTGCTGGACAGGTTTTATATCACATTTTTCTCTTTATACTCTTCGTATTTTTATGTATATGGATGCTGTCTTTCTTTGTTTTTCCCCTGGGGGAGTAACTCTTTGTTTTGGGATTATGTTTTGAAGATATTTTGGCCTTTTTTCTTTACGCTCTTCATTTCCTTTTTTAAGCTAGCTTCAATATTTTAGCTTATTAGAATTATGCTTATCTTGGTTTATTTGTCTACCTTCAAAAAAGTACGTTATGTGGAAACTTCTAATTTTGAGCCCGCATCTGCCTGCGTAGGCTGACTCTAGTTGTACTATATAGATGGTGAGAAACTTTGAAATGTTCTAAAACTTTTTGAAAATTGTACAAGTATGTATCTAGATAGAATTTTTTTTTTTTGTCGAAATGTTAATTTGTGCATATGAATAATATATCTTGAATACTAGGTATGATTCAGTATGCAAAATATGTGTTAGAATTTCCCATCTTTACCTTCACCTACTCCACTACACACTCCACTTCACCTACCTCCACTTCACCACACACTCCACTTCACCTAACCCACTATCACCTCCACTACACCTACTACCACATTTTCTTCTATATATAGATTGTATAGGAATTGTAATTATATATAGATTGTACCACATTTTCTTCTATATATAGATTGTACCACATTTTCTTCTATATATAGATTGTACCACATTTTCTTCTATATATAGATTGTACCACATTTTCTTCTATATATAGATTGTACCACATTTTCTTCTATATATAGATTGTATAGGAATTGTAATTAACATCTCTTGTAAATGCTTCATGACATGATTCAAGTACGTGAAACATGTTAGAATTGCAAACTGCATCATGCCTAGCCAAGTACACTTTGCTCTTATCACCAACATCACTATTAGCACTTTATCTTTCTTCCTTGAGACCCTTTCCCACTCACTAGGGTTGGTTTCCCTCACTTCCACCTTCACCCTCCATTCTTGTTTTGGGGTGGTCCTTTCTATTATGTTCTCACTGCTTTCTTGTTTTTCCAGTTCCGTGCTTTGTCAGATCAAATTTATCGTACTACTGAGCACCACCAATTTGTAAGACAACAAGTTGTTGATCAGGTTGGTATATTTGATATTCAAAAGATAGTTATGACTTTTTGTCATGTATTTGTTCTCTTGATTCCATTACATTCCATTTGACCTAAAATTTGGATGTTTCTGTTTGCAATGCATCAATTTCTTCAGCTCAAATTGCACCCAGAATTATATGAAGTTTATGTTCCAATGGCTTATGATGACTATTTGAAGAACATTAGCAAGTATGACAGCATTCTTCACTTGATCTTTTTGGCATCTATAATCTTTATAAACTCAGTCATGTTCATATATATTTTTGATGTAAATGATTATAGGTCTGGTGAGTGGGGTGATCATGTCACATTGCAGGCTGCTGCAGATGCGGTATTAGTTGCTCTCTTTCTCTCATATGCACATTAGCATTATCTAGCCATTTGGAAAACATAGCTTATACTGTTGTTCACAAATTTGTCTTTGCACTTTGTGTGGTCTTTCTCCTTCTTGAACAGTTCGTAGTTTTCCCTTTAATTGTATCCGTGAATTAATTTTATACCTTTCAGGAAGTTATGGAACTTATTGAACTGATGCACAAGCAAGAACAAGTTGATATTTTGTTGTTGTGATCATTAACAACTAACTGAAAATCAAACAATCTGAAATTTGGCCTTGTTGATCATGACCGCAACCTTATTTAAGAATTTTCTTGTGAAATTACTTAATATTTCTTTATAAAAATTTTCTGTAATTTCAAGAGGTTGTGGCCACTGACAACCTTGCATGTATCTTTACGAATGATATCTGAAGAAACATTGCATATCTACTTCCTTTTCATCTCTCTGCATTTCTTCCTTGGTTACCTAAATGTTTTTGCTTTCCATTTGCCTTTTATTTAATGCACATGAAATTGGTTCTAGTATTTTTATTACTAGAAATATTTGATCTTTTTCAGATTGCGTTTGTATGATTTGGTTGAGCTAAAGGTTCAAGGAGATGGTAACTGTCAAGTCAGTTCTTATCCTTCTTAATAATTTATTCTTTTTTTTTTCCTGGTAAATTATTTTAGATGAATCATAAATTATGTGCTCTATTATCTGTGTAATTATGCTTTATTTTGGTGAGATATGAAAGTATTGTGATATAAATATTGCAGTAACTTGAAAGTTTGAAAATCTGTTTTGGATTATGATGTCTTATATTGCATTTTATTTTATGTATGCTTCATGAATATGTCCTACTAATTGCATTGCAGTAGCCTAAACAAGAAACTTTAGCATTTCTCAGTTTGTTCGACTCAATTTCTCACCTGATTTGTGTTCCATTGAGTTGATAGTCAGATAAATCTTTGAGTGGTAGCTGATTGTGCAAGAAGTTGCAACAAGCAATCAGGCTGATTACTGTTACTCATGTGCTTGACCTGTGTTTAATCCTAAGGAATACAAGAATTTATAGCTAGCAGCTACTGCTAGTAATAGATTTAGTTGGTACCTAATGTTAGACCCCGCATAAGTTAGTGTTCCTTTCTATTATTATTATTATTATTTTGTTGGTAAGTGAGATTTTATTACCAAAAAGGAAAAGGATAAGGCTGAAAGCACTGCCCCAAAGGGAAGATCAGGTTCCTTAGTTTAGCAAAGTATCTCTTACAGCCCAAGAGACTATGCTAAAACAATAAACTTCTCATAACCTGAGAGGATAGGCAAAAAGACTAAGGGCGTTTACGCTTCTTATCTTGCCACTCCATCCCTTGTCCTTGCCTTGATGATGCTACCCCTTTTACTTGAAGTACATTGCATTAATTTTCTAGGGATTTACCATGGATTTCCTTCTAGCAAGCTTAAGGTTTTTGATCTTTTAATCAAGGTTCACCTAGTTTTCTTCCTTATAAGTGGGAGAATTCACCTTGATAATATCATCATTACCATTAAAGGCAATAAAGAGGTAACACTACCGCTTAGGGATGCTTCATGACATGATTCAAGTACGTGAAACATGTTAGAATTGCAAACTGCATCATGCCTAGCCAAGTACACTTTGCTCTTATCACCAACATCACTATTAGCACTTTATCTTTCTTCCTTGAGACCCTTTCCCACTCACTAGGGTTGGTTTCCCTCACTTCCACCTTCACCCTCCATTCTTGTTTTGGGGTGGTCCTTTCTATTATGTTCTCACTGCTTTCTTGTTTTTCCAGTTCCGTGCTTTGTCAGATCAAATTTATCGTACTACTGAGCACCACCAATTTGTAAGACAACAAGTTGTTGATCAGGTTGGTATATTTGATATTCAAAAGATAGTTATGACTTTTTGTCATGTATTTGTTCTCTTGATTCCATTACATTCCATTTGACCTAAAATTTGGATGTTTCTGTTTGCAATGCATCAATTTCTTCAGCTCAAATTGCACCCAGAATTATATGAAGTTTATGTTCCAATGGCTTATGATGACTATTTGAAGAACATTAGCAAGTATGACAGCATTCTTCACTTGATCTTTTTGGCATCTATAATCTTTATAAACTCAGTCATGTTCATATATATTTTTGATGTAAATGATTATAGGTCTGGTGAGTGGGGTGATCATGTCACATTGCAGGCTGCTGCAGATGCGGTATTAGTTGCTCTCTTTCTCTCATATGCACATTAGCATTATCTAGCCATTTGGAAAACATAGCTTATACTGTTGTTCACAAATTTGTCTTTGCACTTTGTGTGGTCTTTCTCCTTCTTGAACAGTTCGTAGTTTTCCCTTTAATTGTATCCGTGAATTAATTTTATACCTTTCAGGAAGTTATGGAACTTATTGAACTGATGCACAAGCAAGAACAAGTTGATATTTTGTTGTTGTGATCATTAACAACTAACTGAAAATCAAACAATCTGAAATTTGGCCTTGTTGATCATGACCGCAACCTTATTTAAGAATTTTCTTGTGAAATTACTTAATATTTCTTTATAAAAATTTTCTGTAATTTCAAGAGGTTGTGGCCACTGACAACCTTGCATGTATCTTTACGAATGATATCTGAAGAAACATTGCATATCTACTTCCTTTTCATCTCTCTGCATTTCTTCCTTGGTTACCTAAATGTTTTTGCTTTCCATTTGCCTTTTATTTAATGCACATGAAATTGGTTCTAGTATTTTTATTACTAGAAATATTTGATCTTTTTCAGATTGCGTTTGTATGATTTGGTTGAGCTAAAGGTTCAAGGAGATGGTAACTGTCTAGTCAGTTCTTATCCTTCTTAATAATTTATTCTTTTTTTTTCCTGGTAAATTATTTTAGATGAATCATAAATTATGTGCTCTATTATCTGTGTAATTATGCTTTATTTTGGTGAGATATGAAAGTATTGTGATATAAATATTGCAGTAACTTGAAAGTTTGAAAATCTGTTTTGGATTATGATGTCTTATATTGCATTTTATTTTATGTATGCTTCATGAATATGTCCTACTAATTGCATTGCAGTAGCCTAAACAAGAAACTTTAGCATTTCTCAGTTTGTTCGACTCAATTTCTCACCTGATTTGTGTTCCATTGAGTTGATAGTCAGATAAATCTTTGAGTGGTAGCTGATTGTGCAAGAAGTTGCAACAAGCAATCAGGCTGATTACTGTTACTCATGTGCTTGACCTGTGTTTAATCCTAAGGAATACAAGAATTTATAGCTAGCAGCTACTGCTAGTAATAGATTTAGTTGGTACCTAATGTTAGACCCCGCATAAGTTAGTGTTCCTTTCTATTATTATTATTATTATTTTGTTGGTAAGTGAGATTTTATTACCAAAAAGGAAAAGGATAAGGCTGAAAGCACTGCCCCAAAGGGAAGATCAGGTTCCTTAGTTTAGCAAAGTATCTCTTACAGCCCAAGAGACTATGCTAAAACAATAAACTTCTCATAACCTGAGAGGATAGGCAAAAAGACTAAGGGCGTTTACGCTTCTTATCTTGCCACTCCATCCCTTGTCCTTGCCTTGATGATGCTACCCCTTTTACTTGAAGTACATTGCATTAATTTTCTAGGGATTTACCATGGATTTCCTTCTAGCAAGCTTAAGGTTTTTGATCTTTTAATCAAGGTTCACCTAGTTTTCTTCCTTATAAGTGGGAGAATTCACCTTGATAATATCATCATTACCATTAAAGGCAATAAAGAGGTAACACTACCGCTTAGGGATGCTTCATGACATGATTCAAGTACGTGAAACATGTTAGAATTGCAAACTGCATCATGCCTAGCCAAGTACACTTTGCTCTTATCACCAACATCACTATTAGCACTTTATCTTTCTTCCTTGAGACCCTTTCCCACTCACTAGGGTTGGTTTCCCTCACTTCCACCTTCACCCTCCATTCTTGTTTTGGGGTGGTCCTTTCTATTATGTTCTCACTGCTTTCTTGTTTTTCCAGTTCCGTGCTTTGTCAGATCAAATTTATCGTACTACTGAGCACCACCAATTTGTAAGACAACAAGTTGTTGATCAGGTTGGTATATTTGATATTCAAAAGATAGTTATGACTTTTTGTCGTGTATTTGTTCTCTTGATTCCATTACATTCCATTTGACCTAAAATTTGGATGTTTCTGTTTGCAATGCATCAATTTCTTCAGCTCAAATTGCACCCAGAATTATATGAAGTTTATGTTCCAATGGCTTATGATGACTATTTGAAGAACATTAGCAAGTATGACAGCATTCTTCACTTGATCTTTTTGGCATCTATAATCTTTATAAACTTGGTCATGTTCATATATATTTTTGATGTAAATGATTATAGGTCTGGTGAGTGGGGTGATCATGTCACATTGCAGGCTGCTGCAGATGCGGTATTAGTTGCTCTCTTTCTCTCATATGCACATTAGCATTATCTAACCATTTGGAAAACATAGCTTATACTGTTGTTCACAAATTTGTCTTTGCACTTTGTGTGGTCTTTCTCCTTCTTGAACAGTTCGTAGTTTTCCCTTTAATTGTATCCGTGAATTAATTTTATACCTTTCAGGAAGTTATGGAACTTATTGAACTGATGCACAAGCAAGAACAAGTTGATATTTTGTTGTTGTGATCATTAACAACTAACTGAAAATCAAACAATCTGAAATTTGGCCTTGTTGATCATGACCGCAACCTTATTTAAGAATTTTCTTGTGAAATTACTTAATATTTCTTTATAAAAATTTTCTGTAATTTCAAGAGGTTGAGATAAATATAAGTTCACAATTTGCATTGAGCCTCATAGTAGAAGCATGGTGATTAAGGCATGTGTATCACGGGACTACAAAAAGATGGGTGCTGCATGAGTGAGCCTTAATTAAGAGAATGAAGGGTTGTCCTACAATCATGGGTTGTTGAGATTGAAAAGATTTCTCAATTGATATTTTGCCTTGGTTGAAAGTTTTGCCGTTATATTTCTTTAGCTAAAAGACTGTCATTTTGGCCAAATTGCAGAGTGTACGCCTGCCAACAATTTAGCTTAAGTTGACCAACTTAGAGTGATAGTCTATGAAGCATTGACACTCCAAAATAGGCGTCGTAGTAGTGTCAGACATGGCGGGAACATGCATGGGACACACACCAACTCGTCCCCCCCCCTTCTTTGGTGCTTTTGATGGATGTTGGATGTTCAATGTTTTTTTACTTTTTGTTTCGATTTAAATAATTAATAGATCATACAAAAAAAGAAGAAAAAAAAGAAAGACATAAATGATAAGAGTTAACTGAAGAGTGAGTTTTTAATTTTTTATATATTAAATTAGTGTTTGTTTTTGTTAAGTTTGATTATTTGTGGATGTAATATTAATCTACAGAGCAGATAAAAAATATGTATATATAAAAAATTTGTCGCCTTGTCCCGTTGTGTCTGTGTCCCCATTTCTTTAGATCATCATGTCCTGTATCCATGTCCGTATGACTGTGTCCGTGTCCGTGCTTCATAGGTGATAGGCCTCCTATGCCATTGAGAGGTGCTTAGAATTTAAAGGCTTTAAGATCGGGAATAGTGTGAGACTTGAGTAAAAGTGGGACTACAATTGCGTGAATACTGAAATTTATTTCCATGAGATCTGGGGGTGGTTGATCAAAGTCTATGGAAAGTATATTTGTCCCAAGAGTGTATTTTTTGTTAACTGGAAAAAGTTCCTTTTGAGTGTTCATTATTGTAATACACTTAATAGTGAAGGGATACAAGAGGACAATGAAAATGATGGCTAGTTAAGAATCGAATCAGTGAGGATGTCTGCAAAGTGAGCTATAGTTGAAATGAGATGTCATGATGGATAATTGGCAATGTAAAAAAAGAGAGAATTTGTGCTGAATGCATAAATGAGGAGGAAGAGGTAGCATTAATTAATGATGGGGGTGGGCCTAGAATTTTACTCCCAGTGTGATAAGTGTTACATATTTTATTTCTTGTGTATGAACCAATGTTGATAATATTACGTTGTAAGAGTAATGCTTGAAATTCTTAAGACTACACTGCTTTTTTCAGTAGTTTATGCTGACACGGGCTTGGCAGAATACTCGGCATGGCATGACACAGGTATAGGCGTAAGACATCCCTTAGTCATGGCTACAGTACCCTTGTGTGGAACAAATTGAAGAAGAGAAGAAAAGAAAAGAAAAAAAAAAAAGAAAGGAAACTAAGAGCCATTTCATGTAGTTTAGTGTTAGAGAGCCAACAGTGCATGTTCGTGCAAGGTTTTGAAGTAAATGGTTGTGGCTGCCATTATAGTTGTAACTGTGGTGATGCAGACATGGTGCAATGGAACTTGCATAATGGACAGTGCTTCCAGAGTTGTGAACTTCTTTTCCTGCATAGCTTTGATATGCTTTTTCTTATTCTAGAATCACATATATTTGGATTTATAAAGTTTTTTTAATTTCTTTTGAGCAATTTAAATACTTGATTTAATACAGGTCATGGATTTATATTATGTTACTGCCAAAATTATTGCAAGTAACTATTTGACTAGAAATGAATTTAATCACTTAAAAAAAAATATTTGAAGTTACTCAACATAATTACTTGTTGGAATGGTGATATTTATTTTTCCAATTTTCTTAGTATTATTTATGGTATGCTTCATGAATTATACTTGAGGTATAATTCCTTATTGGTATAAAGAAACACTTTTGATAGAACATACACTGAATTTAAGAAGGGTATGAAAGAATTGAAAGAGAAAAAAAAGAAAAAAAAGAAAAGAAAAGGAAAAGACAGATGCCTAGAGAACAATGTGAAGAGAGAGAAAAAATAGGGAGAAAATATCAGGCATGTGACCATGTCAGATGGTATCCACTTTTTAATGATGTTATACTTATCACATTTTTTTTTATCATATTTTGTTTATGGTATGATTTGATATACTTATGATGGTTGAATATTAATTTTATAAATAATTATATGACACATCAAACGATAAATAAAACATGCGATCATTGTAACATTATTGCCCACTTTTTGACCACATGCTTTGCAAATTGTAAAATATTATTAGGATGTTCAGGAGTTCTAGGCTAACCTACCGGCCATTATATATCATACACATGTAATGGAAGTTTTTGAAAGGTTAGGGTGTTCAAATAAATACCCTCAGCAGTGCATGGCACTGCCCCTGATCCTTCATAAGGATCCAGGTAAAGAGATTTTTCTGCACACTGTGACCCCCTTTCACCCATATGTACATGAGTTTTCCCTTAATTGACAACCAAGCAAGGCACATTATCTGGTCTTTTTGTGTGACAATGATCTATGATTGCACCAGTGAGAAGTATTTTCTTCAAGGTATTAGGGCGAAAAGGACAGTCCCAAAGGTTGTGGGTTTAGGCAGCGATACTTGATGGCCGTTTATTTACTTTAGATTTTGTGATAGCAAAATGCATTAAATTCGCTGTTTAATTCAGCTTTATTGGATTAATTGAGTTGGAGGCATTTCATGCTTGCTTATTAAACTAAGCACACACATTAATGAGACTGTAAGTTTGGCCCCTTGTTAGTTCGAACTCCTGTGGACTTGGTGGACTGTGTCTCTTTACAAACATGTTAGTAATTTTCTTTATACACATATAGGCTGTTTGAAAATTTTCCATTGTTTAATATTTTTTTAGGGGCCTTAGGCTTATCTGGCTTTATCTTTGACTCTTCACTAAATCTTATCTTACAAAGATATTTATTTATATGAGTTTGAATGTCTTCATTTTTCTTCTCTTAATTGCATGATATCATAATAATAGTGCTATGTAGTACTTATCCCATGCATGACTAATTCTTGGTTATAATTTTACTGCAGTATGGTATCAAGATATTTATCATAACGTCATTTAAGGATACTTGTTACATCGAGATTCTTCCACGCACTCAGAATTCGAAAAGAAGTAAGTGACAAGGCCTCTTTATTTTATTTATGAAAGTTGATGCACAATTGATCTCTCCAATAGTTATTGTATGCCAGTAATATCATGGGGAGGATCACTGTGATGTCATCCTACACTGTTTGGATAAACACACACACAAACATCAACAAACACACACAAAAGGGAAAAAAAAAAAAGAAAAACGCAAGGAAGACCTAACAGTGATGAGAGAACAACATTTCACAAGTTTATATGCTATGATCACCATTTTTAATAACTTTGGAATTCTAATAGTGATTAAAAAAAATTGTTGAGTTATCCATTGTAGGATCCTAGTTGGTAGGGATCAGCAGAAATGAAACAGTATTACATGCAAAATGATGCACCCTAACTACATGTGGAATAGGGTACATTAAGTTAAATAAATAAAAAAGAGAGGGCATTTGCAGCGTTGCCTTGGGGAAAATTATGCTATCAACAATGTTTCTCTAATTCATATGCTACTTTCTTTGTTTTAAATCGATATAAAATCTGTTGAAAATACTTCTACTTAATAGGTTAAATGAGTCTTCTTTAGATAATTCAACTTGCTCTTGATGCCTTTTTAATCATAGACTTGTCATCTTGGAACCTTATATTGGGAACTTCAGTTGATGCTTAATAATCAAGATGCTCCTGTGGTCTAAAAAAATTTCAGGACCCTAGTTGTGTGGATGCTTATGTAAATGGTTTCTTTTTGTACTGTGGGTGCATATGGATAAATTTGCAAAATTTCCCATTTACCTCATTTTTTGTTTGTTTGTTTAGGGAAGCATAATCGATGGTAAAACCAAAAGCTAAGATTTGGAGGTGTATAGAAATTCTCAGTTTTTTTAAGCTAATTGTTAAGTTGGCTTTAGGTTAAATTGGGAGGAGTTATATAAGGATAAGTGTTCGAATCTACAAGAAAAATATCATAACTTAAAAGGTCTTTTGGATATCGGGTTTCTATATACATAAATAATAATTGCTGCAGAAGCCAAAGAGAAACTAAACCATACTCCTCATGGTAGTGACTTTTTGAGGTCAGAAATCTGGTAGAAGTGGGTTAAATAGTAGCCGTCACACCCATGAGAAAATTTCAGGACCCTAGTTGTGTGGATGCTTATGTAAATGGTTTCTTTTTGTACTGTGGGTGCATATGGATAAATTTGCAAAATTTCCCATTTACCTCATTTTTTGTTTGTTTGTTTAGGGAAGCATAATCGACGGTAAAACCAAAAGCTAAGATTTGGAGGTGTATAGAAATTCTCAGTTTTTTTAAGCTAATTGTTAAGTTGGCTTTAGGTTTAATTGGGAGGAGTTATATAAGGATAAGTGTTCGAATCTACAAGAAAAATATCAAAACTTAAAAGGTCTTTTGGATATTGTTTGTTAATCGGGTTTCTATGTACATGAATAATAATTGCTGCAGAAGCCAAAGAGTAACTAAACCATACTCCTCATGGTAGTGACTTTTTGATGTCAGAAATCTGGTAGAAGTGGGTTAAATAGTAGCCGTCACACCCATGAGGACATATGCTTGAAGTCTCATATGTAGGTTAAAGAAATTTATTCTAATACGAAGCTCGTGACATTTCCAAGGATTCTAGGTCTTGTCAAAGAAAGTTATACTAGAGTAATGAAATTAAAGTGCCAATGACATTTGAAGAGGATATTCATTTGGCATTGGGCTCTGTCCAAACAAGCTTTAAAATTACATATCTGTCCCAGTATATATGTTTGGTTATATCAGCAAAAGTTGACTTTAATGAGAACTTTCTTGAACAAGAATCAGGAATAAGTCAAATTTTCCAACTGGTGTAATTATAAATAGAGAATTATGGAATTACATATTGAGGAAAATATCACAACATAAAAGGTTTGCTAATGCAACTGTAAGAGTAAATTGTGCATTGTGACATTGTGTCCCAACTGAAACCTACATGGTGGCTAGTCTTGTTGCTTGAATTTCTCAAGATGCATTCCACAGAGTATTGGTGCTGACATGGTTCATTCTGCTATTGGTAGACTATATGTTTGAACTTACTCTATCCATTCAGTCTGACCATTCTGTACCACTTGCTTGGTTTGATGACTATTCTCTTTCATTTTCAAGTTGTTCACATGTAATTGCTATCTTTAGAATTGTATATCAGTTTCCACTCTATTATAACATTTATTTCATGTTTTTGGTTACCAATAGAAATTGCTTTCCCTTTCTAACCACTAGTGGGATAGATATGAAGTCATTTTTCACTATTCCTGTGTTACATTGTTTTACCATTGTCAAGATATGACATAAAAGTTTCGTGATTTGTGTCATGTGCAGTTATTTTTTTGAGCTTCTGGGCAGAGGTACATTATAACTCCATTTATACAGAAGGAGGTAAGCATATGTCAATTCATGATACTACAACTGACCAATATGCTACATGGGATATTGTGGAAAAGTTGGGGATGATACTGCTGTAAACTCATTTCTTACAGAGCATGCACCAAAACAAGTTGTTATGGAAAAGCATGAAAATCAGTTATCTGCTTCCTCACTCATTTGTTCCTTATGGAATTTTCCAATCCCATCTAGTGCCATACACATTGCATTTAATGATTAATGCTGTGACGGCTAAGTTCTAACTATACATATGATATGCATTTAAATTGCTTCTCACTATAACATTATTGGCCTGCTGAATCTGTTAGATCACCAGTTGTCCCAAAAGCTTAAGCTATTAGGAAATGGGCCAGCAATGTATATCAAACTATCCAAAAGAATCATCCTCAAGCTCACACTAATTTAGTCTCTAAATTAGTACTTAATTATCTTCTTCGTATTGCCTTCGAGGGATATTGAACCCAGGCGAGCTTGTGCCCTTGCAGTTACTTTCTCTCTTTGGTCTCATCAACCAGCTGAATGTGATTTGCACATAGTGTTTAGTAAGAATCTCAAATGATGTGCAAATAATAAAATTTGAATTTTGAGGGTCCTAAGCTGATTGAATCATGAGTAGGGAGACTGATATTGGGCCTAGTTGGTCATTGAAGGCAGTTGACAGAAAATGGGAGAGTTGACAAACATAATGTAATTTTTTTTTTTTTCTCTTGTTTTCCTGTTGGAACAGAGAAGATTATCGTTCTTACAGATTTTTCTGAAAATTCAAGGTCTGATGGAACTTCAATACCCTTATTTTGTTTTATTATTATTATTTTTTTTATGACAGTGAACTCCAACCAACCTTCCTGTCATCTAGTACATGACCTTGTGAATAAACTTTGGATACACACGCAAACATGCGTATCAGTTAAGCCTGATTGCTTTTTCATCTCATGAGAGTGGAACACGAGACGTCTGAGAATATACATGTTAAAATGTATGTATTATTGATTGATGTTTTGATATGTTGTGTTTATTACAATTACAAGGATTCCTATTATATAGGAGTGTGTTTGGGAGTAGGTGGAGAGTAGGTGAAGTGGAGGAGAGTAGGTGAAGTGGAGGTGGTAGTGGTGTAGTGGGTTAGGTTTAGTGGAGTAGGTGAGGTGGTAGTGGTGGTAGGTTTATGGTAAATTCTAACATACCCCATAGTGGAGCACCTGTTGGAATGTGTCCCACATCGCCTGGAGTTGTCCCATCTGTGCTAATTATAAGCCTTCAATTTCCCTCTTCTTAATGCCTGGGTTTTAAGGAGAAGTATGGGCTGGACTTTTCAATTTGGTATCAGAGCTTGGTTGAGCCTGTAATTGGTGTGTTGTTTGTCCGGCTACTGTATGTTGTGGTCTAGGAGGGTGTGTTGGAATGTATCCCACATCGCTTGGAGTTGCCCTATCTTATAAGTAGGGCTGTCAATGGATTGGATTTAATCCGAATCCGATCCGAATTCAATCCGATAATCCGAATCTGTTTACAAAAAATCCGATCCGATAATCCGATAATCCGAATCCGCTTAACCCGTTTATTAATCGGATTGAATATGCAAAAATCCGACCCCACCCAATAATCCGATAATCCGATCCGATTATTCTCGATTTGAATGAAAAAAACACAAAATGAAAAAAAAAAAATCAAATTATATAAAATTGTAGCTCAATAAATAAATAAATGGATCGGATCGGATTATCGGATCGGATATCCAAAATTGTTGGATTCGGATTCGGATATCTATAATCGGATATAGACTAAATGGATTCGGATCGGATTTGGGTTTGTCTTAATCGGATCGGATTCGGATTTTGACAGATCCGATCCGAATCCGATCCATTTACAGGCCTACTTATAAGGCTCCAGTTTCCCTCTCCTTAATACCTGAGTTTTAAGGAAAAGTGTGGGCTGGGCTTTTCAATTGCACCCATGTTCAACCCCTTATTCGACTGTGCCATCTGATAGTGGACTTGAATACCCAACTCTTTATACAAGAACTTTTGAAGAATACCACTTGCGCTACTAGGATTTTGTATGTGTTGGATGTGGTATTGAAGTAGTGCTGATGAATGCTGCTTGAAGAAGTCTATCAGTGAGACAAAGCACTTACATAAGACATAACGTGCAGCAGTGTTCCTGGACTCATATTTTTCATGATGTTTGTGATAAGTGGTTAACATTAGTTCAAAGATGGTGTTGGCATGCATGGGAATGTGTTGACAGACATGTTTTTTCTTAACTCATGGTTTCAGCATTGTGGAATGGTGTCGAGCATAGTCATATTATTGTTGAAATGTGTCCCACATCGCCTAGAGTTGTCCCATCTGTACTACTTATAAGGCTCCAGTTTCCCTCTTCTTAATGCCTTAATTTAAAGGAGAAGTTTAGGCTAGACTTTTCAATTATTATATGTGCATAATAGGTACACAATGGGAATTGACCTAGTAGATTGCCAGGCTGGTGTTTAGTTGAACTTGTTCTTGTTTGCTTTGTTCCTTTGTTAGTTTGTCCAGCTTACTTGGCCATCTAACATGTTCCTCAATTCTTTCACAATTGAATTGTTGATTTGTGTGCTAATACATTCTCTCTCCTGGTTTAGTTAGCATCTGTTGGTAAGTCTTACATTTCTATTGACTTATATTTTTTTTCTTGATATGTTGCTTTATTTTTAGATCTCTCTCCATCAGAGATGAAGAAAAATGAGAGTTGGTGGATGCTTTGAAGTTAGAAGCTTGAGGCCGTTGACCTTTTACTGCTTTCTGGCTCCTCTTAGGAGGGATTTTGTTGGTTGGGTAGGTAACCATTCCATTGCTTATCAATGTCATTGATGAGAAAATGGCTGGCTGTTGCAGCAGCATGATAATATGCATTGGCAGCCTTTGTACAAAACAATTTTCTTGTACTAAGACATCTAGTCGGCCTTTGGGATTGGCTTTTTAAGTGACTTTTAGGTTAATTTTCATTTGTTTTTAGTGAATTTTTTTTAATAAAGCTTGTGTAACTTCTTGTAGCCGTTTCATTTTCAATCAAAACACCTATTATTATTTTTATAATTTTACAAATTTTATTGACATATAATTCAAAATGTAATTTTTGTATAACTTTTTTGTTTTTAAATAATTTTCGATGACAGATAGGTTTAGCACCCAAAACATCAACAACGAACACATTTTGCCATCTGCTAACTTCATTGGCTACATCTTCATGTGAGTGGGTGTTAGCAAAATTTTTGCAGAGTCACAATTGATAGACGATTTGGTTATAAACTATGCCAATCAATACAAATAAATTTTAACTAGTGGTTCAAAAAAAACAATTGAAAGAAGAGAAACAAAAAGATTGAAGAATAACAAAATATATTTTATTAATCTTCGAAGAGTAGGAATTTTATCGATGAACAAAATTTGATTACAAACTAAAGCTATTCTACTATTAAAAATTAAGATAATTTACTCTTAAAAGTTAAGATAACCTACACCTAAAGATAGATAAAAACTACGATGTGTAACGTGTTTGATGTGTTTATCCTCTCGTTTTTTACTTCTTCGTTGTCTTTTATGGTGTTCCACATTTCAGCCTTATACTTTTTCAAAGATTATTTCCTTCTTTCTAGCCATTTTTTCAACTGCTCAGAACTGCCCGTAATTGCTTTCTGTTGGAAAATTTATAGAGGTAGTTGTGAATTGAAATAGAGTCCATTTTGAATGAAAGGGTGTAATCTTTCATGGTGTCTTTTTGTTTTAAAGGAAGGGTCAAACCTCCATTTGAATGAATAAAAGGGTGCAAACCTTTCATGGTGTCTCTTTATTTTAAAGGAAGGGTTATGTCCCTTCTTCATACCTTTTCTATTCAAATTGAATAGGTACCAACAAAGCCTATATAAAAGTAGTCCCATTCCAATTTTGATTGATTCCGAAAATTCATTTTATTTGCCTTCATTTTGCTCTCTTGCATCCTTTATTCTTCATATTATTTTAAGAAAAATTTCAGAGAGTTATAGAACACAAGGTTCTGGTTCGTCGAACAAATTTGTTTGAAGTGCTACTACAAATTTGTGAAGATCATTGTATCTTAGGAGATAGACGCCATATAACCGTAAGCACCGCAGCGGGGCGAATCTGTCTTAAGGACAAAGTGTCACACACTCGACTTGGTCTTTAAATTATTGATTCGGTTCAACAAAATAAATTCTGTAAGTTTTATTTTATTTTGTTTGAATTATTTTAAGTTATTTTATTTAGGGGGATTTGGTCATAGCCCCCTCACTATCTAATTTCTCTTTCAAAAGGACAAGAATTATATAAGTACTTTCAAAACCCCCTGATATTTTAAAACTTGTTTCTTTTACTATATTACCCTCATATCTATCAGCTCTCCTATTAAGACATTTTCACTATGTATTTCAGAGTAAAATTTTACTCTGTATGAAAGTAAAATTTTACTTTTAGGTCAAAACAACTTCTGAACCCTAATCCAGCCTTTTACTTGCCTTTTTATCCTTCCAATCTCGTCCAAACAGGTTTAAAACGTCGGTTTGACTTTCCCAGAAAAAGTCAACACAAGTGCGAGAAAGTCAACGCACGTGCAGAAAAAGTCAACGCACGTGCGGAAAAGTCAACTCTGCCCAAATTCTGTCTTTTTGCTCATTTTATGCTTCGACGATGTACAACCTGATTGACACTCAACACACATAAAATATACAGTTTGACCAGCAAGTGAAGTTAAGAGATTCTAATTAACGGCCTCAATGACGTATATTTTGGCCTTAATCAGACTCTGAAGCTAAAAGTAAAATTTTACTCTGGTTCTGTCAAATGAAAAAAATAGAGCAATAGAACCAGAGTAAAATTTTACTCTGGTTCTATCAAATGAAATTTGATGTTTACTCTGAAAAATCAATGGAACTTTGAGCTTTGAGCTTTGAATCAGGCCTATGATCCTTGAATCAATCGATGTTTACTTTGAAAAACATTGAATCATGCCTATAATCCTTGAATCAGACCTATAATCTGAAAATTTTAGAGAAATCTAAATTTTTCATACCCCGGTTCTTCAGATTTTTCAGATTTTACAGATTTTTCAGATTTTTAAAACTTTGAGCTTTCAAAAATCTATATATTCGAATTCAAATATCAAAACACACAAACACACACATATATATAGATATATATATATATCTTGGGAGGTTAGAGATCGGAATCGTTCATGGTGCACAAATTTGAGTTGAAACCCTATATCGAAAGAGGGAAGAGAAGCTTGCGGAGGCTCTTGAGGATGATGAAGTCATGGAGAGGTAACGGTCGAGGACGGAGTCGATGGAGGGGTTGCCGAAGGCGAAGGTGTTGCCAGCGTTGGAGAAGGTGATGACGGCTGCTTCGGTGCCGCACAAGTTGCAGAGCTCGCCGGTCTTCTTGAAGAGGCCATCTGTGGAAGGGAAAAGAGTGGGGAAGAGAGTGTGTATAATAGTCATATAAAATATTTAAATAATAAATTTGTCCTTTATGTAAGACTTTATAATTATGAGGGGGTTTAGAAAGTATAATTTTTTTCTTAGTCCTTTTAACAATGAAAGGAAGGTAAAGGGGGTTTATAGCCAAATTTCCCTTTTATTTACATAGAAGATTGTTCCAACAATCTTAAGACAGGTTCGAATTATTCTGTTTACAGAATTTTTCATTTGTTTCCTTTTCTCTTTCTTCGTTTAAGAAAATTATTTTCTGTGGATTTACAAAATAATATTCTGGTTGGAAAAACAAATAGTGATTATATGCTATTTGACAGATAGTAGTAATATACTGTCTATTTTCTTTGACAATTAGTAGTACGATACTGGTGTCATTAACAATTCAGAATATATTTTTGTGGAATTTTTTCAGAAATTAATTTTGGGTTTTTTAAAAATTATTTTCTGGATTTTCATTAATTAAAATTCTGTTTTAGTATTTTAATTATTGAAATGTTATAGAAATTTAATTTTTTGTGTGGAATTAATTTGGTTAAATAAAATTTTATTTTAATTCCAAATTAATTGGAAAATAAAAGTTACATTTTTGTTTCTTTTATTTTTACATAATTTAATTCTGTGAATTTGGATTAGTTTTCTGTGTGGAATTAATTTGGTTAAATAAAATTTCATTTAATTTTATTCCCAAATTAATTGAAAATGAAAGTTACATTTTGTTTTGTTTCTTTTATTTTAACATAATTTATTTCTATAGTTTTGGAATTAATTTGGTTAAATAAAATTTTATTTTATTTTATTTTATTTCCAAATTAATTGAAAATAAAAGTTATATTTTGTTTTTGTTTCTTTTATTTTAACAGAATTTATTTCTGTAGTTTTGGTTTAATTTGTTTAAATAAAATTTTATTTTATTTACAAATTAATTGGAAATAAAAGTTACAATTCTTGTTTCTTTTATTTTTACTGAATTTAAAATTTTGTGTTTTTTGGTTTAAATTTTCTGTGTAGTATAAAATTCTAATTATAATTTTATTTTATAATTTAGAATTTATGGTTACTAAAACTGGTCAAACTAATGTTCAAACCAGTACTGGTATGGTGATTGCCATTACGCCAACCTCTCCTTACGTTGGGACTGTGCCAGCGAATCATGGTGCAAAACCAGAAAAGTTCTTAGGAACTGTTTTTAAAAGATGGCAGAAGAAAATGCTATCTAAAGGATGGGAAACTAAGAAATACAAGTTTAATGGCATGTGTTACATTTGTAACAAAGAGGGACATCGGGCCAAAGATAGCCGTTACAAACGTAAAGGCAAAGGAAGATCAAGTAAGATGGTTGCTAAAGCCAAAATGACCGAAATTGATAAAATTTCTAATGGCGTAGATGTCATAAATCTTTCTGCAGTTATTTCCGAGGCAAATCTTGTCAGAAATCCTAAAGAATGGTGGGTGGACACTGGTGCTACTCGCCATATCTATGCCGACATAAATATTTTCACATTTTATTCTACAGTGGACAATGGTGAACAACTTTTTATGGACAACTCCTCAACTTCCAAAGTTGAAGGACAATGAAAGATTGTACTTAAAATGACATCTGGAAAGGAACTCACTCTCAACAATGTGTTGCATGTACCGGACATTCACAAGAATCTTGTTTCCGGATCTTTGTTGAGTAAGAATGGGTTTAGGCTAGTTTTTGAAAGTGACAAGTTTGTACTTACCAAAAACGGGATGTATGTAAGAAAAGGTTACATGTCCGATGGCCTTTTCAAAATGAATGTAATGACTGTTGTACCCTCTGGTATTAATAAAGACATATCTTCTTCTTACTTGCTTGAGTCTTCAAA